CTTCGGCATCCCAAAGTGCTGGGATTACACGCATGAGCCACGCTACCTGGCCCATAAAAGAATTTTTAAGCAGTTGTTTTCCCACTATGACAAAACTCTCTGAGAGCCCCTGTGGTGTGGAGTGGACACACCAGACGGCTGTGGAGAGCAGGTGTCCAGGCTGTGACTCGGTTGCTTTGGCATCTTCCTGCTTGAAAACATTTCTTCTTGTGCATATATATATATATATATATATATTATATATATATATATATATATTTTTTTTTTTTAGCAGAGTCTCTCACTCTGTTGCCTAGGCTAGGGCACAGTGGTATGATCTCAGCTCACTGCAACCTCTGCCTTCTGGGTTCAAGTGATTTTCCTGCCTCAGCCTCCAGAGTAGCTCAGCCTCCAGGTTAGCTGAGATTACAGCTTGTACCACCATACCTGGCTCATTTTTTGTTTGTATTTTTAGTAGAGACAGGGTTTTGCCATGTTGGCCAGGCTGGTCTTGAACTCCTGACCTCAGGTGATCCACCTGCCTTGGCCTCACAAAGTGCTGGAATTATAGGTGTGAGCCACTGTGCCTGGCCTGTTTTTATCCTTAACCATGTTTAATTAATACTCCAAATGGTCAAGGAATCAAAAAGAATCTTGCTGTTGAACACAGCTAGGTAATGTAGAACATGAAAATTATTATTCTACAAATATGCCTCAGGACTTTTTCTCTAGATCTGAAAACTGTGATAAATCAACTTCTCATATAGAATATTCAGTGATTCCACTTTATAATCTAGTGTTAATGTGAAACTATTGCAACCAGTATATGAAATGATTTTCTAAGTATTATAACTAAAGGCTATATTTGATGTGTCATTTATAAGTGAAAGATGAAATTATTAAAGTAAACTAATGTATTTGGGGTGTGCAAAATGTGAGAATTTCATATACATATTATCTATGGGGCAGTAACATCAGGATGACTTTACAAATTAATTTAGGAAAGTCACTAAACAAAGAACAACAATGACAACAAGGAGCAATAACTACAAATCCTGGGGAGGGAGGAGAATCTGATTGCCAGAGATGCTACATTATATTATTTAAAATGTCCAGTTTTCAACAAAAAGTATGAGACATGCAAAGACACAAGGAAGTATGGTCCATGCATAGAGGAAAAATGTGATCAGTAGGAACATAGATAATGTCTCAGCCATTGGACTTATTAAACAAAGACTTTAAGTCAGCTACTTTAAATATATTCAAAGAAATAAATGAAACCGTGTCTAAAGAAAAAAATAAAAGTATGAGAATGATGTCTTACAAAATAGGGAATGTCAATAAAAACACAAATTATTTTCAAGATCATCAAACATGTTCTGGAGTTAAAGATACAATAACTGAAATGAAAAATCTAGTGGGGCTCAACAGCACATTTGAGCAGGCTGGAGAAAGAATAAGCAAAATTGAAAATAGGTCAAGTAAGATTATCCAGTTTGAGGAAAAGAAAAAAAAAGAATGAAGGAAAAAAATGAAATATTTTTTTTACAGCCTCAGAAATCTGTGAGTTCCATCAACCATACAAACGTAATGGGAGTCCCAGAAGGAGAAAGGGAGTGTTTATATTACATAATGCTGTACTCACAGATACATTTTTAAAAAATGTCTTAACTAAGATGGCAGTATATGATCATTAACTAATACTTTCAGGTACACCAGACAATCAGAGTGAGGTACCCCATGAATGAAATCTATGTTTCAAATGTTTTCCTGATAACATTTGGATTTTATTCAAAATTTGAAAGGCTGTCCTCTTATCAGCTACAGTTAGATCTATCCTTGCCCTTGCCTTGTAGTGGGCTTCACAAAGAATAATAGTAATGACTGTTATTCACTGTTTTCTTCTTGTTCACCCTGCCCACATTATTAGTGTTATCTTCAGGCTGGGCCTTTTTTGCAGATACCTTTTTTTTCTTTTTTTTTTTTTTTGAACGGGGTTTCACTCATTTTTCCCTGGCTGGGGTGCAATGGCCCATTTTCGGCTCCCTACAACCTCTGACTCCCGGGTTCAAGCTATTCTCCTACCTCAGCCTCCCGAGTAGCTGG